GCCAGGGTAGAAGTGTGCATTTCATTTTGAGGGAGATGAGAAACCACTGAGTGGTTGTGAGTGGGGGAGTGAAGGGGTGTGATTTACTCTGTAAAGCAATTGCATGGTTAGGGTTGGCACACCCAGGCAGAATGGAGGCAGAGACCTCTTCGGGCTACTGGTTCTCAGGTAGTTCAAAGGAAGAAGTGGGGTCTAAAACAGGCATGGGGTGGGGACTGTGTTGTGACACAAATAAGCCCTCCCAGATCAGTTATTTCTATGCTGATGTTTACATGGAAAGCCTGAATAGGACCTTCCTTTTGCTCTCCCTTCAGCTTTAAGGCCAGGTGTACGAAAGGCAGGGAAGGGCCTGCGCCTGGGTTTGGGGGGCCTTCAACTTCTACCTGACTAGAATGAGGAAGGTCTCTCTGTCTCTCTCTGTCTCTCTGTCTCTCTGTCTCTATCTCTCTCTCTCTGTGTGTGTGTGTGTGTGTGTGTGTGTGTGTGTGTGTTTACAGCCTGGGAGTTTAATTATCTACTCCCCCCCAGGGTTGGCTCTTAGCTTCCTCTCATCAACTCCCTCTTAGGATCTTTTCTTGGGACAAATATTCAGCAGATACTGAAGGATTATGACTCTATATCACTTTCTGACTATTTTCCTTCCTCTTCATGCAGGGTGTGTGAGAGAGGGATTCCCAGTACAGATTTTTTGGCTTTCTTATGTTCAAATGATATTATCAGCCTAATTGCTCCACAATTCTGATTAGATATCAAGTTTATCATACAGTTTCTTGAATTTCCCATTGGTCACAAATAGTACTCATATCTTTTTTTAGAGTTATTAATTAAATCTAATTTTTGGACGCCTCAGCCCCTTATTCCTGTTCCTCAAAACATGACCTTAAGCCTATTTAGAGATCCCAGTTCTCACTAAAGAGTAACCCTCTGAGTTTTGAGATGCTCAGAGTTCCTTGAAGAATGTACAGTAATTTGTCTTACTCTACTTATTGGTTCTATTTTTGAATCCATGTGAAATCTCAGCTTCCTCCCTCACCTCTCGTTTACTTTATAAATGTTCCTGCTAAACTAGCCCCCTTCTGATTTCCCTCATTCCTTCAGACTACTTTAGTCTAGTCTGAAGCAACAGAAGGACTTGCTAAATTTGTATATTCTTTCTTAGGCCTGGGGCTTTGTGGGAACAATTATAACAATTTATCAAATATGGAGAAGAAGGCCATTGCAAATCTTGAGTGTGCAGGGAGAACCGAATGTGTCTGGGTTTTCTGAGAAGATATTTGTTTATTCATAAATTATTTATTGAACATCAGCTGTGTACTAGGCATTGAAACTTAAGCTTGCATTAGTCACTTAAGTCATAGTTTTTAAAGAGACCAAAGCCTAATAGATGAAGATAGACTCTTCAACCATGATTGTCTCAAAGTATTTATAGGTAATATAATTAATTTATATACCAGGCCCAATGAAGAGACAAGGAAACATTTGATAGAGGCTGGGGAAGCTTAGAAGGGTGACATTTTAGTTTTGAAGAGATGATCCAAGTGTAGCAGGAGTTAAAAGGGTATGGCATGAGTCATAACGGTGAGATAAGACACAGGCATGTCATGAGATCTCTAAGTACCTCTGAAAACTAAAAGGGTAAAGATGGGCCTTACTAGGATATATGGTTGGAGAGTCAGCCAAGGAGAGCCAAGAATGACATATGAGGGGCTTTGAATTTATCCTTTGAAAAAAGAGAGCATTGAAAGGGTTTTTTTATTTTTGTTTGTTTGTTTGTTTGTTTTAAGTTCTGGGGTACATGTGCAGATTACACCTTGAAAAGTTTTAGCCAAGGTTGTTATATGACCAGATTTTCCTTTCAGAAAACCACTTCTTCAGTAAAAAGTTTGCGCTGAGACTAAGCCAAGTACCATTGCAATAACTCACATAAGCAAAGGCCTTATTCCAATGAAGGCAGGGTGGGTCATGGGTGGGGCCAGGAGTAGAAGATTGTGTCGGGGTGGTGAGGAGGTGGATGGGATGGAGGGTAGAAAGAGAGGTTTCCAAAAGTTTTAAGAAGGTAGACTTGACAGGACATGATGAGAGATTTTGAAGTGAGTGATGAGAAAAATGAAAAAGCGGGCAGGGCACAGTGGCTCACACCTGTAATCCCAGCACTTTGAGAGGGAGAGGCAGGCAGATCACAGGGTCTGGCATTTGAGACCAGCCTGACCAACATGGTGAAACCTCATCTCTACTAAAAACACTAAAATTAGCTGGGCAAGTTGGCGCGCCTGTAATCCTAGCTGTTCCAGAGGCTGAGGCAGGAGAATCACTTGAAGCCGGGAGGTGGAGATTGCAGTGAGGTGAGATCACGCCACTGTACTCCAGTTTGGGGAACTGAATGAGACTCCGTCTCAAAAAAAAAGAGAAAGGAAAGAAAAGAAAGGAAAAAGCGTAATTTGGGAGAAACATGAGTTTAGGCTTAGAATTTAGAACTTTAGGTACCCATGGAACTTCCAGCTGGAGAGGTCCAGTGGACAGTAAATATTTGAGAGCATCACTCAAGAAGGCAGTTAACAAAGACATCTTAGCCTCAAGAGTTCCTTGAATCCTTCATTTTAATGAGCTTCCTCAGTCTTCACTTCAGCAAACCATATCTATAGTCAAGTCTAGATCTTGACATCACCTTCACCTGCTCTAAATTTGAAGAATTAAGATCTGGTATGGCAATGTGACCACTGGTTTCTTGTATGTTCAAGCTCTCGTATTGCTTTATGTCCATATCTTTTCACTTCATGACTCGATGACATGAAGTCACTCAATGAGTCGTTAAGTCAAAGTCATTGAGACTTTATGTCCTGCCACATATTCTTTTCTCCAAGTCCATCAGAGCTGGTATTGTAACCTTTCTGTAACCAGTCTAGACCCTAAAGAAGCAGTCCTTCCCTTTAATATTTAGTACACACAACATGCTCATTCTTTTATGTTCTCACATACTCATGCTGCAAACTCTTTATTTTCCATCTGGGAAGCTGAATGCTGAAGGGAAGCACATAATTGTGCAGACAGGAGCCACCACTAATGTATAGATTACAGTGCATCTCTCAATACTTCTGTACAATATATTTATGTGGTTCTTTTCAGATTCCTTTACTGAAAACTGTGGGACATTTCAAACCTTCACTGCTTTCTTCCTGTCTCCATTCACACTGATACCCTGCCTCCAAACTCAACTGACATATGGTCTTATTCTCTGCTTCAAACAGTTGAAGGTACCATGTCTGACTCTTTTAACCATCCAGTGTCTTCAAACTTATCCAGGGGTTCACTTAAATGCCTTTCCCTCTGGTCACAAAGGAGAAGATAAGTGAAAGATATTAATGTTCTAAGATCATTCTGTGTTCTTCACCTGCTCATTTCTGCTTTACTTATTCCTTCTTTCTCCTCTACATTAATCTCTCTGTATTGATGTTTTCTGAGAGTACTATGAGTTTAGCCTAAATTATGTAATGATATCCTTTAGGACAAAAAGAAAAGAATGGTGGTTATATAGAATGAAGTGCAAGGAATACTCCTTCTCCTTTCAGCATATCAAATACTGACTTAGAGCTAACGTTGGATTCAACTCCCTAGGTTGTGCCCTTGAGATGGTTAACATAGGAAACTGAATTAAGAAAATTAGAATGTCTGTTTTGAGACCAGGGCTCAAGGTGTTACCAACATAGACTTGAGCTTTGTATTTTATTTAAACATCTGCCTGTGTTGTATAAGCTTTCCTGTACTTTTGAAACCTAATGACATGATATCCCAGATGTTTAAATTATTTTTAATTTGTTACATGCTTGCTATATTTCAAATTCTGGGCTCAAATTATGGAAATATCTCTAATTTCCCTATAAATGTTGTGAGACGCAGTGGTTTGGAGCCACCTCATCCAAGCTAATAAGAGCTAATTTTGCACATCTCTTCACAAACTCTGTTCAGTGACTTGAATTAGCCGTAGCAGGAGTATTTACACTGTGGGGTCAACACTACATTTCAGGGACCTGGTTTACCAGCTTACTTCTTAAGATAGGACATATGTGTCCATTTTATAGCTGAAACTTAGGCTTAGATAAATAACTCCCTAAATTAAGTTAACTGTGAAAGCTACATGGGTTTTTGGGAGGCAAGGCAAATATTAATAATGACTCATTATTTTCTCTTATTCTCTTCTTAATCTCTTCTTTTTCTACTGAAGTTGTAGAGTCCAACTGGATTTAGATTTTCTCCATAGAAGTTTAAATATCCTTGTGATCTGTGTGTGTATGGGTGTGTGTGTATATATATATATATATTTTTTGAGACAGAGCCTCACTCTGTTGCCCAAGCTGGAGTGCAGTGGCACAGTCTTGGCTTACTACAATCTCTGCCTCTGGGTTCAAGTGATTCTTCTGCCTCATCGTCTCAAGTAGCTGAGATAATGGGCATGCACCACCATACCTGGCTAATTTTTGTATTTTTAGTAGTATTTTCACTGTCTCTAATAGGTTATAATGCTAACATTTTGATGTTCATATATTTCTTTTACTTTCCTCATGAAACATAAATGGATCATAAGACAGTCTTTGAGATCTAGTAGTTGGTGTATGCTAGGATGTTATTTTTCATTATGCTTTGTTCTCTAACAAATATATTTGAAAAATGTTCCTAACACTCAATTTATTAATTCCTATTGTATTACTAACCAGTTCTATAACTCTGAACAAGTTTTCTGAGTTGTTTAGGATGGGGATGCGACCAGTGACCTTTAAGGTCATGGTCATTCAGGCCGGCTTTAAAATTCTTATGTTTCTGGTAAGTAGAGTATGCCCCAGTGTGCCCCTAAGTTACTTTATTTAGGACTTAAATCCACATTAATATTGACTGTGGATTTTAAGTCCTAAATAAAGTAATTTCCATTTAATTTTATTAAAGATGTAGCTTCAGAGGTGAGTTTCATTATTTTGTTATGCAATAAGGATTTTATTTTGTTTGAAAAGTTTCAGGATCTGAAGCTGAGGGAATTCTACTGTGAGGGAAACCCACTGTTCCTGCAGCGGCCGGAGATTGCTAAACACCAGGAGAATATCTGGAGTCTACAGGTGAAGGCTTACCTCATTCACTTAAGTATTTAAACTAAAGCCACAATTTAAGTTTTAAAGAGTTTCTTTTTTTTTTGCTTCATTGGTCTCATATCTGTAGAAATATTTCTTAGTTAAAAATGAGCCATATGTTCTAATATTGGCAAATAATTCTACTTGAGTTCACTTTTTTTAAAATTATAAGTTCTGGGGTACATGTGCAGAATGTGCAGGTTTGTTACGTAGGTATACACGTGCCATGGTGGTTTGCTGCATTCATCCTGCCGTCATCTACATTAGGTATTTCTTCTTAAGCTATCTTGCCAAGCCAGCAAATAATTAATGTAACCCAGCTCCATTGGCAATGTGAATCCTATACATAATCTTTTTGACTTGTTTATAGAATCCAATGTAATCCTCTATACCCTTGTTACTTGTCTCTATCCCTAGTGGATGCATGAATATGATCCAGAAACTACATTCACTCTAGCATAAAAAGTTAATGGTATTAAAAGAAGGAAGAGGAAAGCATATTAGAGGACTCTTTGGTAATAGACAAGTCAGAGATCACAGATCCTCCCACATTTGATTATGATTCTCCATCATGAATTTAGATTTCCAAGGTCTATTTGGGTCTGTGGCTAATGTGCAGGGTTGTCATAAGACTTTTGGGATTTGTTTGGAACTCAACTATCAGTCTTGTCCAGTGGCTTACTTTTTTTTTTAATTAAATTATTGTATAAGTTACCTGTTTAATTATAGAAAATACAGATAAGCAATGAAGAAAATAAAAATTTCTTTATACTGACTTTTAAAAAGTTTCTTACTACAAAAGTAATACAAACTCCTTCAGAGAAATTAGGGGGAAAAGCTGATAGAATTAATAAAAATACTAAGATATCTAATTAATACTTATCTGTCTGACATTTATTCTTTTAGAATTTTTTATGCACTCAGAATATTTTTGTAATTAAAGATGAGTTCAAACTCTATATACTATATAGGCGTGTTCTCAGTTATTGTGAATAGCTTTCCAATCAGTGAAACAAAACAATCAAAACAAAACCAGGCCATGACATCTTTTTTGATGAATACATGGTATTCTGTATATGATGATATCATGATATTTTTTTAACTGCTTCCCCACTGTTGAATGTTTAAATTATTAATAGTTTTCTGGGCTTTTAGCCTTTATAAACAATGATACAAGGCTGGGAACAGCCTGAAACCCCAGCACTTTGGGATGTTATAGCAGGAGAATTGCTTGAGTCCAGGAGTTTGAGACTTACCTGGCCAACAGAGTGAGAGCCCATCTCTACAAAATTTAAAATCCTTAGCCAGGCTCCACTACTCAGGAGGCTGAGGTAAGAGGATCCCTTGAGCCCAGTAGGTTGAGTCTGCAATGACTTGGGATCATGCTACTGCACTCCAGCCTGAGTGACAGAGCAAGATCCTGTCTCAAAAAACCCCCCAAACTCACAAAGCAAGAACAACAGAAAGCAAAGTGACAGTGACCATTCTCATAGTAAGTTTCTAGCACTTGTGCATATTATCCCTAAAAATGAAACTGCTGAGCCAAAGAACTGGCATCTTGTAAAGTTTAATTTTGTTTTCAAATTTTTTTTCACAGAATATTTTCACAAACATCATTATTTCCTACTCTTCTGTAACAGAAAAATATTTCATTTGAAATTTAATTGTAAATAATTCAAATAAGTGTTGTATTTAATTTTTATTCCTTTCTAACTTATTTTTTCTCCTTTCATCAAGTATTTCAGTATAATAGTAGTAGCTAGCACTTATTTTATGCTTATGATGGACAAGGTACTATTCTAAGCACTTAATGGGAATAAACGAATTTAGTCCTCTACTAACCCCGTAAAGATAGGTATTATTATTGGCCACTTTTAGTAGATAAAGAAATGGAGACCAAGAGAGGTCAAATAACTTATCTGGGGTCACAGAGCTACCAAGTGTTGGGACAATGATGCTATCTTAAGCAGTTGGGTTCCAGACTCCTGGCTGTAATATTGGTTCAGAAAGGGGCTGTAGGGAGCTGAGGGAACTGGAGACAGGATTGTCCTGGGTTGGAGGAGATTCTGGTTTGTGGAGGAGGCTGGATTAGCAGTTAATCCAATCTGATAGCTGTCTTACAGAGAGCCTTCAAGGGTAAGAACCGTGCCCTGTGACTGTTAATGAGAAAGAAGTTGTTCTGATTTTCAAAGCTGTAGGGTCCAGGTGCACAAAAGTTAACTTTTACAATATATTTAGTGGAAGTAGTTATTTTTGCCTATAATATGTAAATTATTTGGGTAGTTTAGGGAGTATTTCTTAGAATTTTTCTCAGAAAATTGGCTTAAATTGATTTTTATTTCAAGTAAGAGTCATTTATATTGGGCATTTAGTCAATGTTGCTGATTAAGCTACTTGCTATGCCTAAGAATTCTAGTAACTATAATATGAGTTATGCCATGGTAATGATTTTTAAAACGTTACCTCATCTCAGAGATTTATGAAGTAAAATGTAATGCTAATAACTATGTTATAGCAAAATATTAGCCAGAATATACTGTATTAGTAGATGCCAGGCTAAATGGTTTACCATTGTTATATAATTTAATTCTCCAAACTCTTTGTGATAGTATTGGAAAAAATCTCTATTTTACAGATGAGGTATTCAAGATAAGGAAAGTTAAGGATTCACCCAAATATGATCACACAGCAATTAAGTCATAGAGCCAGAATTTACACTTATGTATATATTTGTCTCTGACTTTGAATTTTTGCTGTTAATGCTATTTTTTAGTGCCTATTGTATGCATAATAACACCTATTATGCAATAGTTTCAAAATGTATCACTCCTAAGGATTCATATTTGTTTTTGTATTTTATATTTTTATAGTATACAATTTTTATATGTATAATTTAATAACTCAAAAATTATATGTAAAGAAAGATAGGATATATATAAAATTAATTTCAATTTGTGATTAATTATAATATAGTTAACATAAATATTCTAAGAAAATAGCATATAAGCTATCCAAGAGGAACAATTTGAATATTTTGAAATGTTTTTATAGACCACTTTGGTCTATAAAAGATTTCTTGACTTTTAAATAACACTGGTATATTCTCAAAAATTTCATTGGATGCATCTCTAAGAGGTCTCCTAAAAGATGCTGTTGATCATGCCAATAGCATTTTATATATACTCACATTTCCAAGTAATAACTTTATATTTTAATGGCATATGTTATCCTTCCAAAGTAACACACTGGCAACAAGTAGGAGAAAAATATAAATAATGGGTGATGTAAGAGCTGTCAAATATACTGAGTGCAACAAACATGTTTTGGTCCAGAAATCATAAATGGAAAAAGTGTGACCTATTTTTAGGTCCCTTGTATTTCAACAAATGCTTCTATCATCTGCTATTTCAGGTAGTGAATCCTTATCCATGAGTTTTCCACAGCTTTATAATAAGACTTGGCCATTGAATTCATGTAGCTAAAAGCCTACCTATTAAATCAATATTTCTTTAAGAATCACAAGCTATGCTCTGCTTAAGTAGTTGGAGAAAGGGTGATAATAAACATCTGATTTAGGCACCCTGGTAATATTAGTGTGAAAGCATGACCTCAGTCATGCCAACTACCCAGGAGAATGAGCTTAAGTGGATAGGAGGTTGTGCTGTTGAAGGATCGGACATAAAAGAAATCCATGCTCAGGGCTGTTTATTGTATAATAGCAGCTTTCTCGGGTGCTTGTTAATTGGGAGGGATAGGGTAATAGGAAACAGGGGCACAGCAATTTATAAGATATTGCTGTTTTTTTTTAAGTTTTTAAAGGTTTTAATTGGGGTGAATGAGTGAAAGATTATGTGTATATATATGTGTTTTCAAAAATTTCTGTCAGAGCTTTATGTGGACTGTTTTAATACTGCAGGGAAATCTTTCACTTTGGTCAGGAAAAATGTACCAAATAAAGTATCCCCAAACACTATTAAAATTTCAAGCAGTGTCTGTGTAACATTTATACAGGACTTCCATACTACTGACACAAACAATGGAGAACATTTAATGGATTCAGGCAAAAGTTTATTTATTTTCCTTGCTTGGTCAGTGTAGATTTAATTTTATTTATTATGTAATATGTCGTTATTAAGATTATGATAGCCCTAGTGAAAGGCAACTTCCATTTCCTCACTACCTCCCTTTATTATTTAGTATTTTACTACTATTGCAAGTCAATTTTCTGAACATATCTAGGTAGATAGGTGTAACAAAGATTAAATTCAGAGATTTGGTTCATAGAAATCATTGCTTTTTTTTCAAGATGGCACTATTCAGGTCCTCAATGCAGCAAGGAAGTGCTTAGACCAGTGCTTCTCAAATTTCAGTATGCATATAGATTACCTGAGGACCTTGTTAAATTGCAGATTTTGATTCAGTAGGTCTGGAGTGTATCTGACATTCTGCATATCTAATAAGCTCCCATGTGATGCAGTCTGTGAACCACAGCTTAAGTAGTGAGGATTTAGACCTTAGTGAGTATGACAAAATTCATTTTTGAGTCCAGTATGAATGTTTGCACAGTCTTTGCTTATTGTATTGAGAGGTACCAGCTTTAAACCTAAACTATATCTAACTTTATAAAATGTGTAATGCAAATGTATTATGACTTGGATTCCTATATGTAAGAGATATAGAATTATGACAATGTAAGAAACCTATTGTTTTTATATTGATGAAAACCAAACTTATTTGCAATGCCAGTCATTTATAACACAATTCATTAGATGTACTGCAGTATCTTAATTTAACAGAATCTAGGTAATAAGCCAAATATTTTATCTAGTGAAATGGAAATAAATGTGATGTAAAATAGTTTTGAAAATAATCTGAGGAAATATATTCCTTTTTTTTTTCAATTTAGGAAATAACATCAAGATTTGTAATTAATCATCTAGCAGAAAATAACCCTTTCCTAATGGATGCCATGGAATGGTACCCAGAAATCAGAAGCATAATCTCTCAGAGAAAAACATGTGCAATATGTGGACAGTACTTTATAACTGTATGGCTGGAATGTGTTCAGTTTGTTCCTCCACCAAAGGTAAATGATGCTTTTTGTGCGAATACCAGCATGAGACCTATTCCTATCCTTTCTTTGTTCTTATCTAAATCTTTCAATACTAACTAGATTTGTACCTATGATTGGCTTATGGATAGTATACTATTGATTTAGGATAGACAGATTTGGATAAGTGTCTGTAATAATCATCGTCACCCATTCTAGTTATATTCATGGGCTCCCAGATATATCAGAATACATGCATTCTAGCAAAATTTCCTGGAAGTTGAAAAATTTTAATCAGTAAATCATTAAATCCCATTGTTTATCAGTCTTAATAATAAAACCAGAACTGTATATTGCTCAGAAGAAGAACTGGTCAGTAGTCTGTTGTGGAATTCTTGGTATAGAAAAGGTAATGTGCTGGCTAGTTTATATCATGATGGTGTTCTAGAAAGCTAAATATGCATAAATGTACATCTGCAACATTATGTCACCCAGGAGTTGTGAATCCCAGGGCAGTTCACAGAGCACAGCAAACTCCTTTTTCTCTAAGTGGCCAGATAGTAAATATTTCAGGCTTTGTAGATGGTGTGATCTGTGTGACTACTGCTTGACTCTCCTTTGTAGCATGAATACAGCTCTAGATATATAAATAAGTGTAGCTGTGTTCTAGTAAAAATTATTTGTGAATTTGAATTTCATATGTTAACATGTCATGAAATATTTTATTTTTATTTTGTTCAACCATTTAAAAATGTGAAAACCCTTCTTAGCTTACAAGTCTTAAGAAAACAGGAGGTGGGCCAAACTCAGCCTGGGGACTATAATTTTTCTACACCTCTTCTAGACTATCCATCATTTGCTTTTAATACTAGAATTCCTTTCTGTTCTTAGCGAGCCCTTTGCCTTCCTTGGGCTAGCATAATATAATATTGGAGGATAATTTTAAATAAATTACTAAAAATAGCTGCTGTTTCTGCCATTCTGAAAATTATCAACTGGTAAAGGAGACAAATAAGTAAACACAAATATAACATAAATTGAAACTAACATGACATAAAAGAATGGTATACTGGTTTGCTAAGGCTGACATAACAAAGTACTACAAACTAGGTGGCTTAAAACAAGAGAAATTTATTGTCCCACAGTTGTAGAAGCTAGAAGTTTAAAATCAGATATCATTTTTTGATCATCTTGGCAAAGGTCCTGTTTCCAAACCAGGTGACTTTCGGAGGCACTGGATGTTAGGACTTCAACCTATGAATTTTGGCAGAAACACAATTCAGCCCATAACCAATGGGTTTCACAAGGAAGAGTATCAGGGAAGCCCCTCTTTAAATCTGGGATAAGGGAAGTCTTCATGGAGGAAAGGATATTTTAAAATGACACCTCAAAGGAAAAGAAGGTCAGGTAAAATTGGAGAAGAGTGTTTCCAGGAAGCTGTTCAGCAGGAACAGTATGTATTAATAGGAAATCACTTTCTGATTTGAGGAACTGAAAAATGGTTCGGTGTGATTAGAAAGTATTCATTGACTAGAGAGTTGAGATAGGCAGGAGATAGATCACAAAATATCATGTAGTTTACACTAGGAATTTGGTTTTTATTCAATGTGTGATGAGACATATTTGGAGGAATTTTAAGTAAAAGAGTAACATGTCCTCATTTACATTTTAAAGAGATAACATCTGCATAGAGAATGAATTAGAGGGCAAGGAAATGAGATTAGACAGTAGACTATTTGCACTAGACCAGCTGAGAGATGATGATTGCAGTGGCAGTGGAGAGAAATGGATGGACATCTTGGAGAAAGAAGTAATAAGACTTAGATTTCTAGGTATGTTTGGCTGACAGAACTGTGTGGAAGCAGATTTTTTTTTTCTAAATTAAGGAAGACTAAGGGAGAATTAGGTTTGTTGGGAGTAGATAGGACTTCTGTTTTTGGATATGGTTAAATGTGAGACTCCTGCAAAATCTGGGAGCCTGGGCAGCCGGAAGCCATAGACTCCTATCTAGTTTGTTAGGCATGCTGGGAAGTCTAGGACTCATTGTTAGCTGTGAGTGTGTGTGCAGTGGGTGGGAAGATTTTGGTAGGGAACTAGATATATGACTTCTAACATCATCTCTATCTCTAAAGAGTTTGATTCTAAGTCCTGTTGTTCAAGTGATTTAGTGTGTCATTATACTCCAGTAGTCTTTGGCGAATAAAGGACCTGAGTTGTGAATCTGCTTATATATATCTTAGCGTATCTTTTTTTTTTTTCTCAAGACAGTCTGTCTCTGTCACCCAGCCTGGATCACAGGGTGGTAATCTTGGCTCACTGCAACCTCTACCTCCCTTGTTCAAGCAATTTTCCAGCCTCAGCATCTCAAGTAGCTGGGATTACAGGTGCCCACCACCACACCTGGCTATTTTTTTTTCCTTTGGATTTCTAGTAGAGTTGGAGTTTTACCATGTTGACCAGGCTTGTCTCAAACTCCTGACCTCAGGTGATCTGCTGTCTTCAGCCTCCCAAAGTGCTAGGATCACAAGTGTGAGCCACTGTGCCTGGCCTCACTGTATTTTATCACCAGCCAGTCACTAAATTTACCAAAGAAGCTTTTAGAAGTGTACAGAATGGCTGGACACTGTGACTCATGCCTGTAATGTCATCACTTTGGGAGGCTAAGGTGGGTGGACCACAAGGTCAGGAGTTCAAGACCAGCCTGACCAATATGGTGAAAACTTGTCTCTACTAAAAATACAAAAATTAGCTGGGTGTGCTGGATTACAGCACCTGCCTGTAATCCCAGCTACTCAGGAGGCTGAGGCAGAGAATTGCGTGAACCCCGGAGGTAGTGGTTGCAATGAGCCGAGATCACGCCACTGCACTCCAGCCTGGGCAACCAGAGTGAAACTCCATCTCAAACAACAACAACAACAACTACAACAACAACAAAGGATTATCCTACCCTAGACCTACTAAATCAGTTTGTAGCGGTAGGATCCTGAGCATCCACATTTTTATAAAGATTCCTAGTTCGTTTTCATGTGCAGTCAGGCAGGGCTGGGAATCTCTGCTCTCCTTGTTTAGGGCTGTCCCAGTACCAAAGAGCAATGGCTGTGTCTTACCCACCTTAGTAAGCAAGGCCTCCTTGGTTCCTTATATGTAACAAAAAGTTGAATATAGAAAAAGTTGAATGAATATTCATAGGTTGAATATATGAATTAATGAATTGTTAGTGACCAAAGTGTGGTATAGCTAATAGTAAAAAAAGAAAAGGAGGCGTTGGTGAAGGGGTCAATTCACTGTGGAGTATTGGAAGATGACAAACACCTTAATATGGCCTCAGTGCTAGGGAGAATTCTTACTATGGCTGCTTTCAGGCACACTGTAGTTTGCTTTGTCAGTCTGCTTCTTGGACTCTGCTGAAAGTCTTTCACTTTATTCCACTGCAAGCAGAACAAAGCCTCCTGCACACAAGTATGCCATGTTCCCAAGAATCTGCAGAGCCTGGATTAGGCCTTTTCACAGCCCGTGGCTTACCCAGGGACAATCAATGAGTGCATGTGAATGCTGATAATGTATTCTTACTAGCATTATTAATCAGTTCGTAAGTTTACATTTCTAACTGCTGGATGAGATCATCACTACTTATGTTTCAGAGATACATTATCTTTCTCAAAACTGTAATTGTGAAACTTTATTTCACGAACTTCACTATGTGTGTTGTTCATGATGAGGTTCAATAAGGACAACTTTTTTTCCATCAACTTTTTATTTTGAGAAATTGGAAACAACGTATAACTTGAATGAATAATACATTGAATATTTGCATACCTTTACCTAGAGTTGCCAATTTTTAGTATTTTGTTCCACTGGCCTTATCTCTTACTATTTTTTGCCTTTAAGGATGCATCTTGTCTAAAACAAATTTGATATTGACATAAGTCCAGAATGTAGCCTACCTAGAAAGATTATATTAAACCTTTATAGGACAAAAATAAAAGAATACATTCTAATTATTAAAAATATGAATGAATGAATAGATAAATAAATCTATCTTTCATAGCAAGTAGAGAGCTTTTATCAAGAGTTACAATGGATAACACTGTAACACTATTTTTAGGGGCCAGAAAATATGTAGGTTATTTTAGCTATTCTATCCCATGCTTAGGACATGGAGGTTCACACTACGGGCCTGTTTACTTTCCAAGAAGGAGAGTAAAGATTTTACAACAGCTACTTTATGTAAGTCATTTATAATCCTGTAGAATGAAATCCAGAAACAGTTATCAGAGTTCATGTCACCTGATGTCTGATATTTACATATTACCTGATATCCGGTATTCACACATCACCTGATGTTAGGTATTCACATCACCTGATGTCAGGTATTTACTCTGGTAGACAGGATCCATAGAGCTAGTCCATGGTAAAAGATCTAAGTCAGCTATGGTTGTGGTGTAGAGCTACTACACCACAATTTTTTCTCATAATGTCCTTTACCAGAGTTTTTGACACTGCCAAGTATTGTAAAATGATGCATGTGAATTGGGAGACTAAAAGTGTTTTCCTCTTGATCCAGTCATTTACAAATTATATTTGTACTAGACATACCCATGTGTGCTTAAGACAAAAACTAAAAGAAGAGGAAGAATCTAATCAGAGAAATCATTCTCAACTGAGTTACATGTATATTAGGCTCTAGTGCAGAGGTTGCTTATAAAAGTTCCCTGTGAAGAAGAAAGAGCTATTTCAGTTGTTCAGCCTTTTAATACCTTGATGCTCTTGCTGTGGAAATGTCTTTGTCCAAGTTGAGTCGGTGTTTATAGCAGAAAGTTTTGAAGTCTTCGTGATATTTAGCAAAATTTGCAGTAATTGATTTACTTGGTGTTTGGTGTCTGTCTCTATCATTGGATACTAAGCTTGAGAAATTTAAGGACCATTTTGGTTTTGTTCATGATTATAGATAGAGCTTGGGACAATGCCTGATAAATATTTCATTTCTACAGAATGATAAATCAGATCTAGATTTGAATATCACCTCTTCCTTTAAT